TATGTGTAGGATCCACCATATTAAAACATAGTGGGACTTACCATGACACATGGGAAACACAGAGGGGGTGAAGACTTTTTGTAATATATAGCAACTCTCTCTCTCTGATAAGTCTTACATTATGCTTATTCCTGAATTTGATTATTGTTACACATGCTATTTAAAACCCTATTTGGAAGTGAAGTTGTAGGGAGTGTCAGATGGTGGCATGATTTGCCCGCCCTTGAATTTCATATGAGTAATGAACATCTCATGGCCTGCTGACCTACTGTTCCTATGATTGAGTGGCAAAATCACTTGTAATTATTTTGTTTTTTGCCTTCCCGTCAGGGAGAAAGCTTTTACAATCCATATATACCTGGAGTTTTAGAGGAATTGGATAAGCAAGGATTAATTGAAGAAAGTGAAGGTGCTTGTGTGATCTTTATTGAGGGGAAAAATATACCTTTAATTGTTGTGAAGAAGGATGGTGGTTTCAACTATGCTTCCACTGATCTTGCGGCTCTTTGGTTAGTGTTTTAAAATTTGGAGTTGATTAAAGTGTAAATTATATGACCCTTCTATATGTCATTCATTCTTGCATCTATACTTATCCATGTTTAATCTAGCATCTGATCTGCATGATTTATATAATGCATCTCTCCATGTTTCTTCCTTTAAAGATATAAATTATATGATAGAATCATCTTGTGGTTCATGTGATTGAAAAGAGATCTGCTAGATGGAATTTTATGACCCATTTTTTAAGTTTACCTGGGTAATATGTGACTACTATTTGAACTTAAATGTCATGGTTGGACATGCATTGCTTGTGCACCTTTTGTTGGAGTGGTAGCGGAATGAGTGCATTTCAGTTAAAACAGCTGCTTTCAATAATTAATGGTCAAAATCGATCTAATTGAAGTTACAAACGCTAAAATTACACAATGAGCAAAATGCAAAGATTATAAATAATAATTTTTCAAATGAATTTGAAATCATGAGATGAGAATAAAAATTTATGATTGTATAAAAAATAATGGAGATAATTACACATCTTTTTGGTAATTTTTTGTTATTAATCATTTTTACTCAAACTTATTTATTTACTTTGACAACTTTCTTTAGCGTTTTTGGGTCAGTTTTGGTTATTTTTATAATTCCTTTAAGATTCTTATTTGAAGTAAAATCACTTTTAACTTTATGTTAGCCAACTTTCTAATACGAAATCATTTAGCTATCTGTTTATGTGGTGCTCCTCCTCTATAGCTTTCACTAACAACTAGGAGCTCCCTTAACTTGGAGAATGAAAACTTTCTTTCAGAAATTCTAAATCAGATTTCATATGCATTAACTTCTCATTTGGCACTCAATCAGCCCACTAGGAATGTTTATGGCTTTACCATTGTTGTAGCCAAATATGGCCTAAACTTAGTCGAAAAGGGCGTTTCGAGGGCGAAAATTCAAAACAGTTCCCGAACCACCGTGTGGCTAACACAAATAGTTCCCTCATGACAAATAGGACTTGTGAGAACTGACGGAACGTAATTCGGACCTGTAGGTAGAGAGTTAGAGCCGAAAACGTCCAAAACTTAGTCGAAAATGGCATTTCGGGGCCAAAATTCAAAACAGCCCCTGAACCATTGTGTGGCTCACACGGACAGTTCGACCATGACAAATAAGACTTGTGAGAACTGACGGAACGTAATTCGGACCCGTAGATTGGGAGTTAGAGCCGAACACGCCAAGAACTTAGTCGAAAATAGCGTTTTGGGGGCGAAAATTCAAAACAACACATGAACCACCATATGGCTCACACAGACAGTTCCCCCATGACAAATAGGACTTGTGAGAACTGACGGAACATAATTCGGACCCGTAGGTAGAGAGTTAGAGCTGAATATGTCCAAAACTTAGTTGAAAAGGATGTTTCAGGGGCAAAAATTCAAAACAGCCCCCGAACCACTGTGTGGCTCACACGGACAGTTCCACCATAACAAATAGGACTTCTAAGAACTGACAGAACGTAATTCGGACCCGTAGGTTGGGAGTTAGAGCCGAATACGCCCAGAACTTAGTCGAAAATGGCGTTTTGGGGATGAAAATTCAAAACAGCCCCCAAACCACTATGTGGCTCACACAGACAGTTCCCCCATGACAATAGGACTTGTGAGAACTGGCGGAATGTAATTCGAACCAGTAGGTTGGGAGTTAAAGCTGAAAACGCCCTAAAATTAGTTGAAAAAGGGCGTTTCAAGGGCGAAAAATCAAAACAGCTCCCGAATTGCCGTGTGGTGCACACGGACAGTTCCACCATGACAAATAGGACTTGTGAGAATTGGCGAAACGTAATTCGGACCCGTAGATTGGGAGTTAGAGCCGAATACGCCCAAAACTTAGTCGAAAAAGGGCGTTTTGGGGGCGAAAATTCAAAACAGCCCCTGAACCACTATGTAGCACACACGGATAGTTCCACCATGACAAATAGGACTTGTGAGAACTGACAGAACATAATTCGAACCCGTAGGTTGGGAGTTAAAGCTGAATACACCCAAAACTTAGTCGAAAAATGGCGTTTCGGGGGCAAAAATTCAAAACAGCCTCCGAACCACCGTGTGGCTCACACAGATCGCTTTGCCATGACAAATAGGACTTATGAGATATGACGGAACGTAATTTGGACCCGTAGGTTGGGAGTTAGAGCCGAATATGCCCTAAACTTAGTCGAAAAAGGGCGTTTCGGGGGGCGAAAATTAAAAACAGCCTTCGAACCACCGTGTGGCTCACACGGATAGCTTCGCTATGACAAATAGGACTTGTGAGAACTGACGGAACGTAATTTGGACCCGTAGGTTGGGAGTTAGAGCCGAATATGCCCTAAACTTAGTCGAAAAAGGGCGTTTCGGGGGGCGAAAATTAAAAACAGCCTTCGAACCACCGTGTGGCTCACACGGATAGCTTCGCTATGACAAATAGGACTTGTGAGAACTGACGGAACGTAATTTGGACCCGTAGGTTGGGAGTTAGAGCCGAATATGCCCTAAACTTAGTCGAAAAAGGGCGTTTCGGGGGGCGAAAATTAAAAACAGCCTTCGAACCACCGTGTGGCTCACACGGATAGCTTCGCTATGACAAATAGGACTTGTGAGAACTGACGGAACGTAATTTGGACCCGTAGGTTGGGAGTTAGAGCCGAATATGCCCTAAACTTAGTCGAAAAAGGGCGTTTCGGGGGGCGAAAATTAAAAACAGCCTTCGAACCACCGTGTGGCTCACACGGATAGCTTCGCTATGACAAATAGGACTTGTGAGAACTGACGGAACGTAATTTGGACCCGTAGGTTGGGAGTTAGAGCCGAATATGCCCTAAACTTAGTCGAAAAAGGGCGTTTCGGGGGGCGAAAATTAAAAACAGCCTTCGAACCACCGTGTGGCTCACACGGATAGCTTCGCTATGACAAATAGGACTTGTGAGAACTGACGGAACGTAATTTGGACCCGTAGGTTGGGAGTTAGAGCCGAATATGCCCTAAACTTAGTCGAAAAAGGGCGTTTCGGGGGGCGAAAATTAAAAACAGCCTTCGAACCACCGTGTGGCTCACACGGATAGCTTCGCTATGACAAATAGGACTTGTGAGAACTGACGGAACGTAATTTGGACCCGTAGGTTGGGAGTTAGAGCGTTGATAATTGAAAACGTTCAATGTATTAAACCCATTAGGTATATTATCTCAACAAAAAATCCGGATATGGATAGCTATTTGTTCAGATCATATTTTCAAATATAATTTTCGACATAAATACGATTTGATCACATGGTTACTAATATCCAATCAACATGGTTTTTTGTAGGGATAATGTACCCAACGAATTCTACACATTGAACGGCTTGGATTATCAACATGGGTCCGGATTAAGACCCACGAATGTCGAACTCTCCTCTCCTACTATACTTTTAGGCTGTGTTTAGATGTATCATGGTTTTCAATTACCGTATCAGTATTAGCCATACAATCATATATCAGACTGATATTAGGTGATATATTGATTTTAGTGGAATGTGTATTGAATTTAGTGAAAAAATGTTTCATGCTCTTTTCCATTTTTTTTAATTCACTTGTTAGGAAGACCCTATTGTATATATGGGAAGTCTAAAATCTTGATATGTACTCATATTTAAAATCCTCATTTGGATCCTAGATTTGGAGAGGAAAAAGAGAAAGAGAAGGAAATTGTGAATGAAATATGAGTTTTTTTTTTTCTTTTTCTTCTCACATTCACTTTCCTTCTATTTTTCCTCCCCAAATCTAATCTCATAGCATCCTCCAGTGGGCTGTTTCTAAAATTAGCAAGTCTGAAGTATCAAATGAAGGAATGCAACGGCTGGTCAGCGTTGCAGTTGGTGAAATTGAGTAACACTAGTTTAAGGTTTTAGCTTTGGTGCTCTTGGATAAATTACACAGTAAAACATAGAACAAATAGAAATTATGCTGTTGGATATATGTCTGATCTCATCATTTGGGGCTTCTAATTTTGAGTGTGCATTTACTGGTTTGTTCAGTTATAATGTAACTATTTTAGGCAAATTTTCATCAAGTTTTTCTTTCATGGGCAATGGTTGCTTGCTTATCTTTTGAAGGAAAAAGTTGGGTTGGGTTCATCTGCCGACACTGGAAAGGGGAAGAGTAAGATGTCAAAGCATGTAACACATGGTTATCATTTGGTTAAGGGAAAATCCAGTCACCCAATGGAAGATTATGTTGTTGTTGAATTCAAGCAAGTTGAGGAGCATGAGCTTGGTCTGTTTGCAATATTTGATGGTCATTTGAGCCATGACATTCCTGATTATCTACGGTCTCATTTGTTTGTTAATATTTTGAATGAGGTACTACATGCTAGCTGTACATTACCACGTGTTTATTGGATTTATATGTATCTGATCTGTCTGATAGCCTTTAATGAAGTAAATCTTTTGCACGTAATGTTAGAGCAGAACATCAACTGAAGTCCTGAAGGTTTGTTTTCCAACTAATCTGTCACTCGAAATTCTGGACATAGAACTACTTCACACAAATGGATCATCTCCCTTGCCCGTTTTGATTTTCTTTTGTATCATTCTTATTTTGATAGTTAACTAGTATTGGTAGTTGATAAGATGGTTGAAATTATTCTCACCCTCTTTTTCTGTTGCTGCATGTAGCCTGATTTCTGGACTGAAACAGAGGATGCAGTCCGGAGAGCTTATCGTACAACTGATACTTCTATTTTGGACAAATCAGTAGAGTTAGGTAAAGGGGGTTCAACTGCAGTTACAGCAATCTTAATTGATTGTCAGAAGCTGGTGGTAGCTAATGTTGGAGATTCAAGGGCTGTCGCCTGCAAGGATGGTGTGGCCAAACAGTTGTCAGTTGATCGTGAGCCTAGCAAGGAAAGGACATATATCGAGGACAGAGGTGGTTTTGTATCAAATTTTCCAGGTAACTAGACTTATGTGATGGACTGTCATAAAAAAATAATAATAAGTGTCAACTTATTCTAGTTGATTTGTTTTTTTATTCTTTTGTTTTTACTTTTTAAGCTTATCTTTTTTGTTTGATTAGTATTTTGGTGTTTTCCATGGTTTTGAAGGGAAATTTTTTTTTAAAGGACTTTTCGTTTATATGATGTCCAAGGGGGAAAGGCAGACTATGTTGGCTTTGAATGATGAAAATGTAAATTATTCTTGGTACTTATCAAAGGTTTATTGTAAATGGTACTTAGAGTAAAGTAACCACTTCTACATGTTCCTTTGCTTTGATAATAAGCTTTTTGCATAATGATAATGTTAATTTTAACATGTTTCGTCCGCTAGCTAACCTTGACGTCAAGATTAGATCATCTTACGATTACATCATTGTGTTAAATTCAGGTGACATTCCACGAGTTGATGGACAGTTGGCTGTAGCAAGAGCATTTGGTGACAAAAGCTTGAAGAAACACCTCAGTTCGGAACCAGATGTGTCTTTGGAGATTGTAGATGAAGATACAGAGTTTGTCATCTTAGCAAGTGATGGCATATGGAAGGTTGGTTCTTCTGCTCTTTTGCATTTACCAATATCTATGGTTCATAACCTCATCTTTTCATTTTAATCCGCCTCTCTCCTTTTAAATTTTGTTCTCTGTTTATAGCTTTTGTTGTCTTCTCTCCTTTTCATATGACTTTGCAATTCAATATGAGAATGAATTATTCTCAGAGTACAATACATGATTTGCTTGGACTAGCAAATTTTTAGATATTAATAATACCAATGTTTTTGTCCAAAAAAAAAAAAAAAACTAGATTTTAGTATGCCTCTTGCTTGTTGGATGCATATGGTTTACTTTATAAATTGCTTAAAGCATTAAAAATAAATGGAGAGAAGTTATTGGAAATATAATGGAGGTTGCAAAAGTGTATAGAAAAGAATGACTATTGACTACTGCTTTCCAATTGGCCATTTTTGCACTAATTGCTATTTCATCAATCTTACTGATTAATGTGCCCGTTGTATTTGTTTAGAGTTATTTTGTTTGGGTGAATAATTTTCTTAGAGTTATTATTTGAATCCTAAGATAGAAGCATCCAAATCTGAGGATTAGAACATTTAATTATCCAGTTTAAAAAATCTTCTATGTACAAATAAGAAAATATGGCACTAGCTTACGCTACTATCATAGATCAGTACTTCACAAAATTTCTGGATTTCAGAAGTTTGAATATATGGCATGTCTAGAATGACTTTTGGCAAGGCATAGTTTCTAGTTTCAACAGTTTGTATATTACAATTTTTTTCTCCAAAGTTGTTGCAAGACTATTGGCACTTGTTTTTTTTTTGTGTATATTTCTCTTTTTCCCTGTAATGTATGCTCTGAACAGACTGGACTTTTGGTATTAGGTAATGACAAATCAGGAGGCAGTGGAGTGCATTAGGAACATAAAGGATGCTAAAGCAGCTGCTAAGCACCTTACTTGTTGATAGCAAATATTAGTAGTTTTATTTGTTGATAGCTGCGCATGGATAACAAATAGTTATGTTTCAAATTGTTATGCTAGATGGATGTGACTTGTGAATGAAAACTTAGAATAGTTGTATTGTGTCGAATGTTAATGAATTATGTATTGTGCCGAATGTTAATGATTCAATTAATTTGAATGATGTTTTAAAATTATAGGTTTATTATGAATTGAATGAATTATTAGGAATTACAGATGTATTGTTTTCCTGCTTTGGCGAACAATTTATTAGTCGCGACAAATAATAATTTTTTTTCGCAAAAAATGACAATTGCCGACCAAGAGTTTTGGTCGCCAAAAATACATCTATTGCCGACCAAAACAGCTCTTGGTCATGGAAACTCACTTTTGCCTAGCAAAAGTTTTGGTCGCGAAAAGTAACAAATGGCGACCAAATTTTTTGGTCGTGGAATGTCACAATTGGCGACCAAACTTTTTGGTCGTTGAATGTGATAATTGGCGACCAAACTTTTTGGTCGCGAAATGTGTCAATTGGCGACTAAGATATTTGGTCGGGAAAATATCACTTTTCACGACCAAAGTGTTTTAGCGACAAAATGAATTAGTCATGGTAATTAAATATTTAGCGACCAAAAATTTAGTCTGCAAATCCAACTTTTGCCGACCAACCAAAATTTTGGTCGCGAATTACTTTTGCCGACCCTCAATTGGCGACCAAAGTAGCGACCAAAAAAAATTGGTCGCGGATAACTTTTGCCGACCAAAAATGGGCTTTTAGCGACCAATTTTTTGATCGGCAAAAGTGTTAATTCTTGTAGTGCCAAGGCATCTGCATGGGTGTTTTGATCACGTGTTATCTAGTTCAACTCATGATGGTCAAATTTTGCCAACAAGGAATTGGCCGTTTTACTATAGGCCGCCATACGGTCGTTTCTTGCCGCGTACTCCTCCTTTAGCTGATTGATCACCAGTTTTGAGTCGCAAAACACAAGCAAACGCCGAGCACCCAGGATATGCGCATTCTGCAAACCGTCCAAAAGGGCTTCGTATTCGGCTTCGTTATTTGATGCTTCGAAACCGAGCTTGACGGCCTGCTCAATTATTGCGCCGTCAGGGGCCATGATTACAACTTCGGCTCCACTGCCCCGCTAGTTAGACGATCCATCACAATACAGTTGCCAAATGTCCCCAACATAAATCCTCCAGTTCGATTTTGGTCGAATTTTATCAGACTTGAAGTCGGCAACGCCCCCAGTGAATTCGACGACAAAGTCGGCAAGCACTTGTCCCTTGATTGAGGTTTTGGGTAGAAACTGAATATCATACTGGCCGAGTTCCAGAGCCCACTTTGCAACACGTCCAGATGCTTCCGCACTGCGTAGTACTGATCGGAGGGAATAATCTGTTAGCACCCCAATGCTATGCCCCTGGAAGTAATACATCAGTTTCCTTACCGCCATGACTAGGGCTAAGATGAGCTTTTCCAGCGGAAGGTAGCGTGTTTTGGCGTCAACCATTGCCTTGCTCACATAATACATTGGCCGTTGCTCCCCCAGCTCTTCCTTTATCAGTACGGCGCTGACGGCTCGGTCAAAAATTGCCAGATACAAAATGAGCAGGTCGCCGGCAGAGGGTGTTGTCAGGAGTGGTACTTAACGGAGGTAGGTCTTCGGGCCGCTGAAAGCGGCTTCGCATTCGACGGACCATTCAAAAGCCTTGCTCTGCTGTAGTATATGAAAGAATTGCCCACAGAGATCTGTGGACCGGCTGATGAACCTGTTGAGTGCAACGGCCATTCCCATCAACTTTTGAACCTCTTTTACTGAACGAGGGGAGCCGAGCTTCGGGATTGCTGTGATTTGCCTTGGGTTGGCTTCGATTCCTCTGTGATTAACAATGTAACCCAAGAATTTTCCAGAACCGATACCAAACGCACATTTGGAAGCGTTCAACTTCATTCCATATTCGCGTAGGATGCTGAATGCCTTTTCCAGATCGGCTATATGATTCTGCTCTTCCTTGGACTTGATCACCATATCGTCAATGTACACTTCCATAGTCTTGCCGAGTTGCTCCTTGAACATGGTGGTGACCAGTCTCTGGTAGGTTGCCCCTGCATTCTTCAGCCCAAAAGGCATAACCTTATAGCAATAGGTACCTCTGGGGTGAGGAATGCAGTTTTCTCTTGATCCTCCGGATGTATAGCGATTTGATGATAACCTCTGTAGGCATCAAGGAAGCTCATACGCTGATGTCACGCCGTAACATCTACAAGTTGGTCTATCCTGGGAAGAGGAAAACAGTCTTTAGGGCAGGCTTTGTTTAGATCCGTAAAATCGACGCAGACTCGCCAACTCCCATTTTTCTTCTTCACAACCACAGTATTAGAGAGCCATGTGGGGTAAGTCACTTCCCTGATTGCTCCGGCATCAAGCAACCGGTCTACCTCTTCAATGACGGCGGTAGTGTGTTCCGCGATTGATCGTCGGCTTTTCTGAATAATCGGCTTGCACTTAGGGTCAACATTCAAACGGTGCTCCGAAACAGATGGTTATACGCCTGACAATTCATATGGAGTCCACGCGAATACATCAAGATTGCTGAGCAGGAAGGATACTAGCTGCTGTCAGTCGGTTTGACTCAGGGAGGCGCCGACCATGAAGAACCTCTCTGGATTGCCGTCAATCTCAACTCGGTCTAGGTCTTCCGTGGCTTTCTCATTTGGGAGTCGCCCGACATTGTCGAGGCTGTCTCGATCCGACACCTCAACGGAATTAACTTGCAACTCCTTTGGCGTCTTTCCGGAAAAGAGATAACATGCCTGTGCCAATTGCTGGGAACCACGAATTTGCTCAATGCCATGTTCGGTCGGGAAGCGCAGCAGCTGATGATAGGTGCTTAGAACGGCGCACATTGTATGCAACCAAGTTCGCCTCATGATGAGATTATACGGCGAAGGAAGCTTGACTACTAAGAATTCCACATCAACTGTTCGGGAGCCCGCTCGAACGGGTTGTGTGATTTTCCCCAACGGATACTCTGGATTTGCGTTGAAGCCAAATAGTGGATAAGGAGCCGGAGACAGGTCTGATTCGTTTAAGCCGAGTTTGATGAAGGTCTTGTAATACATAACCTTCGAAGTACTTCCCTGGTCTATGAGAACGGGCTCAACGGTAAATCGGTTCACGCGTAGTTCAATGACCAGTGGATCAATGCGGGGGACTGTTATGTCGATAAGATCAGAATCGTCGAAGGTAATACTCGGAGCTTCTCGTGGTCTTTTTGCTCGCGTTAGTTACTTTTGGGGTACTGGGTGTGACTGAATTGCATGCACGGTTGGAGGCGTTGACAAGCTGTATATCACATGAATGACGCCAGGCGGGGGTAAATCCCGCCGCAATGCAACTATTTTGGTTGCGCTCTTTCGGACACGTTGCTGGAGCCGACTATCTTGTACCAACTCCTCAAGGTGGTCTTTCAAAGCATAGCAGCTGTCAGTGTCTTGTTTCCAGGCTCGAGGTCGTCGACCGCCTACTTTCAGAGGTCGTTCCGGATCTTGGCGCACGGCTTGTTTGGACTTTGCCACCTCCAAGGCCAAATCCTGATGGAGACGCTCGTTCTCAGCAATCGTGTTCTCCAACCTTTGTTCGTTTTGCTTTGCCTGTTCCATGATCGCTTGCATTACCTCATGCTTTAGAGTCGAAGGTGAGGCGAAGTTCAAAGCACGTCTTGTTGGGATAATCTCCGGTCCATGCATGTTTGTTGGAGTGAAATCGTCTATCTGCGTGATTTCATCAGTGACTATTGGAGGGTCTTCCGTCACGCCCGCCATGGATATACTTGAGTATTCCCACAGACAGCGCCAATTGTGGAGAAGTGGTTTGGAAATACTCTTCTGATCCTGGGAGAAGCTCGTGATCCGCTGATAGTCACCTTAAAAGGAATAAACACTCCGGTCGGGGGTGCCGAAATTAGCACTCCGACGGACAAGTCAGTCTCAACTCTCAAGATTACTTATATTCTAAGTTAAGCACAATAATTCTCACATACCTTTCTTAGTCTGTTGTTCCTTTATTTATACTCGTTTCCTGGGTCTCGGGGCCAGGTCCACTTTTCACTCATTATCTTTTTATTTACTCGGCTCTATAGTTCGGTATCTACTCGGCTCATCTATTTTATTCGTCTTTCCTGATCGTGCAGAAAAGAGCCGAGTAATATCTATCTTCTAGAGTACGCTTCTGATTCTTCCAAATATCTGGCCCCCACAAAACTTGTTATACATATACATATACATATATATATATATATATATTTATAATTAATGGATTCTCATTCTTGAATGGTAGATGTGTAAGGAGTGAGGAATGCATCAGAACATGTTCAGGCTAGAGTGACTAAGTTGGTTAATGCTGATTTGTGGTTATGTTAACCATAAAATGTCTCATCAGTATGAAGTCAAAGTTATGTGTTTGCCCAGTGATATTGTCTTTGACATTGAGAAATTCTTTTGCTTCACATCTGATACAGGTCAAGTGTTCAGCAGAACAGTGCACTATAATGGCATATATTTATATATTTAATGTTTTCTGATAGAGAAATGCTATTTATAACCAGATTATTTTGTCACCATTTTATTTCACTTCCCATGTTTTCCATGCAATATAGCAATGTGTATGTATAGTGTATGTGTAGGATCCACTATATTAAAAAATAGTGGGACTTACCATGACACATGGGAAACACATAGGGGGTGAAGACTTTTTGTGATATATAGCAACTCTCTCTCTCTCTCATGAGTCTTACATTATTCTTATTCCTGAATTTGATTATTGTTACGCATGCTATTTAAAACCCTATTTGGAAGTGAAGTTGTAGGGAGTGTCAAATAGTGTTTGACTTTATTTGAATTTCATGTGAGTAATGAACACATCGTACTCATGAAATCAACTGTTCCTATGGTTGAGTGGCAAAATCACTTGTAATTATTTTGTTTTTTGCCTTCCCGTAAGGGAGAAAGCTTTTACAATCCATATATACCTGGAGTTTTCGAGGAATTGGATAAGAAAGCGAAGGTGCTCGTGTGATCTTTATTGAGGGGAAAAATATACCTTTAATTGTTGTCAAGAAGGAT